AATGTAGATGGTAGCTTAAAACACGACATATCATATGTCGGGATGGCTTGCGCTACTGACTTAATAAGGACCTCTTTACCTGCACTAGATAGGAGTTTCTCTTTCCAACCTTGTATGTTCATCCATACCCTCTCACAAATGGAATCAAAAATAACACGCTTCGTTTTTCCAATCACTAAAGGAAGTCCCAAATATTTATCATGTTGTACAACTACAAGAACTCGTAACATACTCTGAATTTCCCCCAGAACAGCAGATGAGGTATTCTTACTAAACACAACAATAGATTTTGAGAAATTAACTACTTGTCCGGAAGCCACTTCATATTTATGGAGACATTCTGTAATAGTCTCACAAACCCTCTTGGTGGCCTGGGCAAATAGAAGGTTATCATCCGCAAAGAATAAATGTGAGAAAATTGACCCCCCCTCTTCCCGCTGCCATTCCTTTTAGACTTCCCCTGACCTCACCTGCTCTTAAGAGTGTCGAAAGTGTAAAATCCGGTAATTTTGAACTTTTCACAAAAAGGGACAAAATGGTAATTTGTTACTACGGTACGGGTTGTAAACTTAAATTTTTCTAGAACTCGGATGATAAAATGGACCTCACCATTGGATTCGTCTCGCGAAATCTAGCAATCCTGTCAAATTTCATCAAATTCTAAGATAGTCGAATTTTTTACATTTTACGAGGCGGTCGAGTCTCGGGTGACCCAAAAACGAAATTTTTAATAAAATTTTGAAATTTGGTAAATAATTTGAGAAAATTTAAAATAAAAATATTTTGAACTTAAACCAAGATGAAAGTTAATCGTTTTGGGACGAAAACGGCCCCCAAAAAAAAAGGGTCCTATGGCGTGTTGTGGGCCAAGTGTTGAGAAGTATAAATAGGGAAAAAAATGAATTTCTCCCCCAATTACTCAGTCGTTACCCAATAGAAAGATAGAGGAAAGACAGAAAACTCTACTTTCGCTCTACAATCTACGGAATTCTTGCAGTCGAATCCACTCGAAACAAGAACAAATGTTGTTCTCTTGCCATGAGCTACAAAATCATACCAAGGAAGTCGGGTTTGGGCGAGATTCCAAGGACAAGATTTTGGGAAGGTAGAGATTCAAGCTTTGTGTTGGGTTCTTGAAGCTTCCCAACGCCATTTTACTCTTCAAGAGATAGAGTTTCTTTCTACATTGGTTTATTTTTTAACCTAGAGTGTTACATGAGATGGGTAGGTTTTTAGAAACTTAACACTTACCATGTTTGTGAAATTGATGAAAATGGGAATGAAAATGGGTATTGAAATGGTTTAAAATAAATTCCTAACTTGGAATTAATATGTGAAAATTACTTGTCTAATTCCATGGAATTTGGTATTATATAGGCATACTATGTGTTTAAATTATGCCTTTGTGAATGAAGTGTGTTATTGAGACATATTAGATAATAACATGCTTGAGATATATTGTTGGATATAAAATGTTGATGTATGTTTATTGACACATTGACATTGTGATGAAGTTGGTAATTATATGCATGAAATATGTATATATGTGGTTAAATTGCTCATATGACATTCATTACATATAGGGTATGATATTGATTTAACAATGGTACATTACATTGCATTTGTACGGAGGAACCGCATCCATGGACAAGAGTGTGGTTGTGTGTGTGCATGGTTGACATCAAACACCACATGGGTGGATGATAGGTCGGTTCGGGAAAGTTGAATCAAAGATCCGACTGAGTCACACAGTTGCATGAAAAAAGAATTGAGTCGGGGTTAGTAAGAAGGGCTAGACTATCCCTTAGGTGAGGGACCCAGTGACCGGATACACACTCTGTTGGTATACGAGCCCATAAAGTGTGTTGATGTACAAGGAACCGTTGATGGAAGTCCATAAATTCCATGTCGGTTGGGTGCCGTTGGTGGAAGTCCATAAAAACCCACCCCAAGAAAGACCCGGAGATTTTTTTTAAAGATAGTCATTGGGTGTGTAACGCCAATGACAGGGGCTTGGAAAGCCCGGTTATACTCATAGCATTGCATGAGTGAAATGAGCTAGGGAGGGCTCAGGTTGAGTTGTATGAGTGAGTGTCATCTTATATCATGGCATGACTTGTTAGATTCCAACATAGACTTGTTTGATCTTGATTGGAACAGTTGTTGCTTGTTAAATGTTGCATGAACATTTCATATATATTTAGGTTGGGGAGTAGCCTTTGTAGGAAATACTTTACTGGGCGTGGCTCACCCTATACAAAAAAATATTTCAGATGCGAAATACACGCCGGAGGAAGGCCCTCACATGGGACCTCAAGAATGAATAAAGCCGGGATGTGGCTTTATTTTTGAGTTTTTATAAATGATTATGTAAATTTTGTTTTTGATATATAAATTCATGGAATTGAATGTAATAGAGTTGGTATGGACCTTGTGTAATATGAAAATCTTAATTATATGTGGGTTGGATGGAAATAATATGTTTTGAAATGAATTGGAAATAGAAAATAGGTGAAATAGGTAAATCTGGACAAAACCTAGCTGTAGATCGCTGTCCAGTGGGCAACACCTACCAATAGGATCGCGTACAGGCAGAACTTTGTTTATCAGAAAAAACCTATCGGTAGGATTTTTCTAGTAGACAAAACCTACCAGTAGGTTCTCCAAAAATCTAAAAATTTAATACTATCTTGCCATGCTTTTGGACTATGGATCTTTTGGTTCTAAGGATATAAATGGACATGAAATGAAGATAAATAGTGGTATATTGAATCTTGGTTGGTCAAATGGTATAATGTACACGAGTTACACGTGTGAGTGATGATCCCGATTAAGGGGATGCTATTGACATGATGTTGGGTTGTGTGACAATTACGGGTACTTCTACGGGTTGACGGGTGGTCAACAGTTGAAAAAAAGGACCCCCGGTTTAGGGGCGTCACAGAAAGACCTTCTGAACCCAACAAAAATAAATAAGTTGAGAGAGGTTCTCCCTGCCATAAAACCCATTGCGGCTTGAAAAAAACTCAACTCATTATGAGTTGCACCCAACATTCATCGAAACCCAGTTGACGCATCATTGCTTCCAAAAATTTCTACTCAATTCTATCATAGGCTTTATTCATATCAAGTTTGAGTGACATGTAGGCCTTACCTCCCATTTTCTTCTAGTTTAGGTAGTGATTGAGCTCATAAGCAATAAGTACATTACCCGTAATCAACCGTCCTGGTATGAAAGCACTTTGGAACTCTGAAATTATCTTGGGTAAAATTCTCTTCAGTCTATTCGAAAGGACTTTCGCTATCAGTTTATACACTACATTACACAAGCTAATAGGGAAAAAGTGTGTCATGTTCTCTGGGTTTGGTATCTTGGGTATCAATACTATGTCTGTATAGTTGAGACTACAACATAGATTATCTGAGTTTAAGAAATCCAAAACCAGTCTTGTGACATCATCACCCACCACATTCCAAAATTTATAGAAGAAAATTGGCCCCATATCATTTGGGCCTGGGGATTTATTTGGGTGAAATTGGTTCAAAGCCACTACTACTTTAGACGACATAAATTCTGCTAACAAAGCACAATTCATGTCAGGTGAAACACTCGGATCATCACTATTTGTAATTTGCTCCATCAATTGAAAAGAAGGGTGCACCGACCTGAATAAATCTGTCAAATAATTAACTGCTAATCTTACAATCTGTTCCTGCTCTGTCACCCATGTACCTTCCTCATTGAAAAGACCTGTAATCCAATTCCTTTGTTTCCTTGAACTTGCCTGAGCGTGGAAAAAACTCGTGTTTTTATCACCCTCCTTCAACTACAATGATTTAGAGCACTGCCTCTACATTGTCTCCTTTGCCTCCAACAGGTTATTAATTTGAGACTGGACCTCCCTTAATTCATTCCTTATATTCTTTGTGATGACCCCAACTTGTAAATTAGATATCCTTTTTTTGTTTGTCTAAATCTTAGATGTTATATTACCAAATTTCTCATACTTCCACTTCAATAATCCCACTCTGCCACTTCTCAAATTTTTGAGATAATGTTGCTCAAGCGAACCTAAACTGAAACCATGCCAACTTTGACGAATTACTTCCAAGCAAGATGGGTCAATAAGCTACATCGGCTCAAAGAGAAAACATTTTTTTCCTCCTCCATCCTACTCCCCCATCTTGTGAATTTGCTACACGAAATAAAATTGACAATGATCTGAGTCCATATTGGGTAGATGTTCGACACTACTATGCGGGAATATAGAGGACCACAGCGGCTTCACCCAAATTCTATCCAACCTTACCTTAACTGAGTATGGATGGACACTCCAGTTCCACCATGTAAAAGGACTACCCTTGAACCCCATATCTTGTAATTGACATACATCAATAGCTTCACAAAACTCCCTCATTTGCCAAATCGAACGATCCTGCCCACGCCATTTCTCCTCAGAAGAAACGATCTCGTTAAAGTCTCCCCCACAAATCCAAGGGAGAGTAGATCTCTGACTTATTAGCTTCAACAATCTCCAAGAATGCTTTCTAAAACTAGTTTTAGGGTGACCATAGAAGCTCAAAAAACACCACTGCTTTGAATAGCCCTCATCAACAACTGCTTCAATATGGAAATTTGAGAAAATTTTGACACTAATTAGGACTCTCTCTTCCAAAATAAAGCAAGCCCCCTTCCACCTCTACCTCACGCATCAACTGCCATTCTTGCGACAAACCAATCTGAAAATTTATTTTATATAAGTCATTAGATAATAGCCTGGTTTCCATCAAGAAAACCAAACTGGGCTCTTTTCGCTTCACCAGATCATGAAGTGCACAAACTGCATGAGGGTTCCCAACCCCTCGGCAATTCTAGCAGACTCCTATCATTGCTCCCGGCAGGATTGATCAATAATTGCCGCCGGTGATAATTAGTTGAGAAAAGTGGATTGTAATGCCTGAACCTTCTTGCAAGAAATATTGTCATTTCCAAAAATTGTTTAACACCTTGAGTCATCTCCCCGTCTCTTGTCACCCACCTTGACCTCTTGGATTTCCCAATTTGCATTTGGAATAGGAGATTTGGCCTTACGAGACCACTTTTCTTTCCCTTTTCCCTTGCTAGCCAGCTTCAAATCCCTAACTGCCCCAATGTTGAGCTTAGGAGGCAAAGACCTCTCTTAAGAAAAAGCAATATCTTTCGTTTGGATTGGCTCTTTTGGGTGTTCTATGATTGAGCCCTTGATTTCCACTAGCTCCAACAAATTCATATGGGCCGAAATTGAGAAGGCTGAGGTTAGGCCCACCTCATATAGATCACCTATTTTAGAGGTCTGTTGAGTTTTTGTATGGTAGCCTTTCATATTGAAATAAGGCAAAATGGGTTGTCCCCAACCTATCCTGGAGTTTAATTCCTTGGCAAAGAGGAATCGTGATATTCACACCAACCCTTAACCTCATAAATCTGCCCCCATTTCCAAGCTCCTCTCGGATTTCCACGACCTCCCACTCCTTGAAACTACCAACAACTTTGATTGCCATCTCCTTAGTGATACATTCGCGAGGAAGACCATTTACATGAATCCAAAATTGGGCATAATCAAATGAAACCGAGTTGATACCATTGCCTTTAGACCATCTTTGAGTAATAATCAAAAAGTTATCGAAACACCATGGGCCTTGAAACAGAACTTTGTGAATCTCATTCTCCTCCTTCAAGAAAATTTGGAAAATATTAGAAGAAAGCCTCATAACTCTCAAATCTTTACACCCCCAAACCCCCACCATTGTGTTCTTTAAAGCAATTGAGTTGACAAATTTCTCTATCAAAATCTTCGCGTATACACTCAAAGCACACTCCTCCATACCTTCTAATGGGATGAGAGATAGGAAAAATGAGAGAACTCCTATAGTTGACCTAAGGAAAGAAGCCGAAAAGTGGTGGATGAATTGAAAGTTGATTTAGTGTTAATTTGATGAATTGAATATTAATTAGATGAAATAAATGTTAATTTGGTATTAATTTAATGAATTATATATTAATTGGATGAAATTGAATGTTAATTTGATAAATTAAATATTACTTTGATAGTATTTTGTGTTGGGTTACTCCTTTTTAGGGTTGCAGTGGATGTAGATGATGAATCCAATAAAATGGGAATTGAATTTTTTTCAAAAACTTCAACTATTTTCTCAAGGAAACATATCCCCGCCCAATATTTTTTGTAAAAAAAACATTTTGCATCCCAATTTTTTTTTTTTTATTCTCAAACAAGTTATATGTACAAGCAAAGGAAGGGTGGGAAGGTAAGAGAAGTGATTTGGGCGGGAAATGCGAAAAAATGTGGAAAATTGGGTGGAGAGATAAGGTTATTGTGGACCACATATGTCCAAAACAAATGAATAAATAAATAACTGGATTAGTGTAAAGAGTGATTAATAAATGAACCACGACCGCCTGTAAGCACTATCGACCCATCCTAATTTAAAGGGTTAATATTATACTTTTATTCTCTAACTATCACATATTTATATTTTTATGGTTGGTCCTAAAAAATTGTAACAAATAATAAATTATACTTTTATCCTCATGAAAACATGGTTATAGTTCAAGAGTATAAGGATAATTTACCTATAGAATAATTAAGACCGATTGTAAGAATGAGCGATCGTTCGTAATATAAAGGGTTTGATATTAACTTTTTATCCCTTAACTATCACAAAATTGTTTCCAAAAATAATTAAGGTGTGTAAGTGTAATTTACCTCTAGAAGAATTACGACCGACCGTAGAAATTGACAACTGTTCAGGGTTTGATATTACACTTTTATCTTTTAGCTATCACAAAATTTATTCCAAATATAGTTCAGGGGTGTAAGTGTAATTTAACTATAGAAAAATTAAGACCGGTCGTAGGAATGGATGACTGATTGTAATATAAAGGGTTTGATATCACACTTTTATCCCTTAAATAATCACAAATTTTTTGAGTTTAGTCAAAAAAATATTAAGTATTTTTAAATAGTCCAGCTTTTAAAAACCAATAAATTAAAATTTTATAGGAAAAAATTACAACTATTAACATTTACAAATGTTATAATTAACCATTTAACAATGTTGTAATATTTATATATTTATGATTGGTCATAATGTTTTGAGTTTTTTTTTGAGTAAAACTCAAAATTGATAAAAGTCAAGATAAAAATATTATTAACAACAAATAAATAAATTAGGACCACCCATACTACCTCGCGACCGATCCTAATTGTACAAAAAATACGAATAAAACCAAATAAATAAATTATAACCGCTTTGGTAAGAAAAAAGTGGTAACGAATAATGAAAAAGTTGTAACAAATAAAACAATTGTAAATAAATTACTACATAGCGGGTGCAACTTTTGTGGGATGGGTCCAAACTAAAGTTACAACTTTTTTATGCGTGCTAACACTTCGGTCATAATTTATTACAAATTATTTTCATAATTTATGACAAAATTTTGTCTTTTGTCATTGGGCTTAGTTGGGATGGGTCCAACTTTTTTTTGTTGAGTTCCAACTTTTTTGGGTTGAGTTTCAATTTTTGTGGGACAAAGTCCAACTTTTTTGGGTTAGGTTCTAACTTTTTTAGTAAAGGTTACAACCTTTGACATTTGGGTTCCAACTTTTNAGGTAAGAGAAGTGATTTGGGCGGGAAATGCGAAAAAATGTGGAAAATTGGGTGGAGAGATAAGGTTATTGTGGACCACATATGTCCAAAACAAATGAATAAATAAATAACTGGATTAGTGTAAAGAGTGATTAATAAATGAACCACGACCGCCTGTAAGCACTATCGACCCATCCTAATTTAAAGGGTTAATATTATACTTTTATTCTCTAACTATCACATATTTATATTTTTATGGTTGGTCCTAAAAAATTGTAACAAATAATAAATTATACTTTTATCCTCATGAAAACATGGTTATAGTTCAAGAGTATAAGGATAATTTACCTATAGAATAATTAAGACCGATTGTAAGAATGAGCGATCGTTCGTAATATAAAGGGTTTGATATTAACTTTTTATCCCTTAACTATCACAAAATTGTTTCCAAAAATAATTAAGGTGTGTAAGTGTAATTTACCTCTAGAAGAATTACGACCGACCGTAGAAATTGACAACTGTTCAGGGTTTGATATTACACTTTTATCTTTTAGCTATCACAAAATTTATTCCAAATATAGTTCAGGGGTGTAAGTGTAATTTAACTATAGAAAAATTAAGACCGGTCGTAGGAATGGATGACTGATTGTAATATAAAGGGTTTGATATCACACTTTTATCCCTTAAATAATCACAAATTTTTTGAGTTTAGTCAAAAAAATATTAAGTATTTTTAAATAGTCCAGCTTTTAAAAACCAATAAATTAAAATTTTATAGGAAAAAATTACAACTATTAACATTTACAAATGTTATAATTAACCATTTAACAATGTTGTAATATTTATATATTTATGATTGGTCATAATGTTTTGAGTTTTTTTTTGAGTAAAACTCAAAATTGATAAAAGTCAAGATAAAAATATTATTAACAACAAATAAATAAATTAGGACCACCCATACTACCTCGCGACCGATCCTAATTGTACAAAAAATACGAATAAAACCAAATAAATAAATTATAACCGCTTTGGTAAGAAAAAAGTGGTAACGAATAATGAAAAAGTTGTAACAAATAAAACAATTGTAAATAAATTACTACATAGCGGGTGCAACTTTTGTGGGATGGGTCCAAACTAAAGTTACAACTTTTTTATGCGTGCTAACACTTCGGTCATAATTTATTACAAATTATTTTCATAATTTATGACAAAATTTTGTCTTTTGTCATTGGGCTTAGTTGGGATGGGTCCAACTTTTTTTTGTTGAGTTCCAACTTTTTTGGGTTGAGTTTCAATTTTTGTGGGACAAAGTCCAACTTTTTTGGGTTAGGTTCTAACTTTTTTAGTAAAGGTTACAACCTTTGACATTTGGGTTCCAACTTTTCAGATTGAGTTACAATTTTTGGGGGTGGGTTCAAACTGTCTAGGGTCTAATTTTTTGAGTTGGATTCCAAATTTTTTTTAATAGGAGTTCAACTTTTATGATGAATAAATTTTGGGGATGAGTTCCAACTTGTCTGGAGGGGTCCAGCTTTTGTGAGATTAGATTCAACATTTTTGGGTGGATTCCAACTTTTGTGGGACTAACTTTTGTTGGATGGATTACAACTTTTATGGATTGAGTTATAATTTTTTAGGTCGACTTTCAACTTTTGGATTACTTTGCTTACAATCTTTTGACACTGTTTCCTACCTTTTTGGGGTGGTGGAGTTATTACTTTTTAGTGTGGGGTTATAATTTTTGGGGTTGGTTAGCACTGTTGGGATGAGTTCTAACTTTTTTGAGTTGTGTTTCAATTTTTTTGACAGGGGTTCCAACTTTTTGTGTGGATTCCAATTTTTTTGGGTGAAAATTAACTTTTTTGGGTTGGATTGCAATTTGTTTGGTAGGAGTTCCAACTTTTATGAATGACTAGCAATATATGACATGCATTGCACTTAAACAAATTAAATAATATTATTTTTATAGAAAATATGAATTATATGTTTACTTACATTAAATAATAAATCAAATGTCGAATAATTCATTCGTATTTTAATTATTGTTAAATTTAATTATTAATTTATTCTATAAGTTTTGAGTATCCAATCTATCATTTATTTAGGTATCTTTTCGACCCCTTTAAGCATTTGTACATCTAATTATATTATTAATTTATTAATTTTTATTTTGCTAAATAGATTGATTTGATCGCTTATAATGTTATTATTTTATTGCATACTAAAAAATATTTGACTGTGTAATGCAAACTGATAACTACATGTATATAATAATTTAACATATATGTGATTTTATTCTTCATATAGATATATATAATTATATGTAATTGCACTACTAATAAATGAGTTCAAAAAAATTTAGAAATTTTTATAAAATAGTTTAAAATTAGTTGAAAGTCAAATAACTATAAAAAAGTAAAAATTATATGAAAGTATATACATGAGTATAATTGACTTTATTATAATAAATAGGGATAAAATAGAAAATTAAAAGTTTTTCGCATATATAATATTGATTAGATTACAACTTTGTGGGATGGATTCCAACATTTATGGATTGGGTTATAACTTTTTGGGTCTGCTTTCAACTTTTGGGGCGTTGGAATTATTGCCTTTTAGGGTTAGATTACAATTTTTGGTGTAGGTTATCATTGTTGGGGCGTAGATTATAACTTCTACATGTGAGTTTATCACCTTTTTAAGTTACGGTACTATTTTTTTGGTATGAGAATAATTAACTTTTTAGTAAAACTCATGATTACCTCTTCAGCAGGTAATCGGTATCCTTCGTGCAAAACTCATCAATGGCTAAAAATTCATAAAATGGTCTAAAACTTTTAGTGATACCGTACTAAAAATTATTTTCGGTATAGTAGAAGGACTCTTTTTTATAATGGCAAATTGGGATATGCCGAAGTATAATGCCATACCCTTGGAAATCTCAAATGTAAAAAGGAAAATGTTATGTTTATCAAAAAAATTTATCAAATTTTTTGTACTAAATGATGTGGCACACATTGTGGCGAAGAGTGCTTTACAACTACCTATGAAATCAGCACAGGCTTTTAGGGCATTTTAGATGGTTTTGGGATGGGGGATTGGAT